CTGAGATTCTTCATAAACAGTTTTTTAGAAAGGCCAATCTGACTCTGAATTTGAGCATTTAACGAATGAGTTACTGAATTTATTTAATGAATCTTCAGTTGGTACTGTATGTTTTCACTTATTATAGATAAAAATAATTAAGGATCAGTTAAATTTTAGCATCCTTAATATGCTTTATTGTTTAATTCTAGAGACTGCAGTTGCTTTTATTGAATCCACTAAAGGAACTGTCAAACATTAGTCATCCTGATATCAGGATCAAGCAGTTGGAGTGTGTGCTACAGATTTTGCAAAGTCAGGGTGACAGCTTAGGACCTGGTTGGCCATTGGTGCTTGGAGTCATGGGGGCAATCCGAAGTGACCAGGGGTAAGTGATGGAAATAAAACTTTAAAATCATGTACAAGAACAGTAGAAAGAATTCTGCTTTTATTTTCTTACTTTAATAACCTCTTTGATAATAGCCATAATTTTCATTGTCAGGTTTAGCTTATGAACGATTTTACTCAAGAAAAATACAGTTTTTAATTTTTCCTGTAGCACACTCTTATTTTACTGAATTAATCTTTCAGAAGACCAGAGTATTGTTCCACTCTACCCTCTCCTGTGTTCAGCATGCAGTATACACTGAGGAGTACTCCTTGTGCCAATTCATGTGATCTTAACCATTTGCTGGACGCATCTCTAGTGTTTGCAGATAATTCTGTATGATTTAGCTGTTGCTCACAGTTCCTCTGTTGTTTCTTTTTCTTTTTAAATCTTTGGGTAGTCTCTAGTGTGTGTCGTCATCTGAATGCACTCTCTTTTTGTTGAAACCTTCCTCCCTAAATGGCTGCTGGTAGCACAAGGATGGAAGATTATTTACTTGCTGTGGGTGAATCCTTTGACTGACTAATGCAACTGGCACTGTTGCCAACAGAGGGGGAATGTTACTGGACTGGTCATCTTGCCCACAAGGGAAAGTGAGAGGTGAAGTTGCAAGTTTTTTTTAAATGAGCAGTGAAATGAACATCTGGCCATGGAACTGTAAGCACCAAGAACTATACCCACACACTTAGACCATATTATTCCTTCTTTGGTGCTAGTCAAGACTAGCACCAGGATAGGTCAGCAAATAACTGTGGTATCAGAAGAATTCACCTTGGCGTATCTCTCCTTTCACCCCACCTAAGCTTCTATCTTCTCGCCATATGAAGAACTCCTAAAGCCCCTTCAAATGCTTGAAGGATTTTGCTCTTGTACCAGTATTGCTTGCTCTGGTAGTACTCACCAAAATCCCCAAGGATGTTGGCATTCTTGGTTGTGAGCATCCTCTTTTTGGTAACAATGCTTCCTTTGATACCTGCTGTTTCCATGCTTGGTGCAGTGTGTTCTGTGGTTCCTACATGCCTTTTGATTTTTCACTGTAGGTGTTGATGGATGAGAACCAACACAGATTCCTTCTCAAGGCAGTCTACAGATCCTTTTACATCTCAAACCCATACCTCACTGGCAGATATCTCAAGATGTTACTAAGATCTTGTGTTATATCTTAGCCTCCTCCTACAAAGCTTATAGAATAATCTACTTCAACTACATAGCACTGTTTGCCCACATCATGTCAACTACAGTAGGAAAAAAAAAAATGAAGCAAGCCTCCTTTTTCTTGGGAAACAACTGAATTTCTTGCCTCACTTGTAGCTGAGAGCACCAGATGCAGGCACTGTTCTCATACTTTAAATATAAACTTATTGACCATGAGACCTTCTTCACAAGTGTCTTCCCTCTGGTCAGTGACTATCTTGGATTCCAGGACAGAAATCCATTTACCTTCCAGCAGAACTTCTTGCCAGGCTGCTATAAATACAGAAGATGCTATTTTGAGAGCCAGTGATACTTTGGTCACTTCTTGATTGTCCGGTACTAGCCTGCCAAACAAAAGGAAGTCTGTCTTTGAAGAATTTTTCAATGGGATGCCCCTGTTTATTTTAAGGATAGGCAAAGTCCTATATGATCTTAAGTTTTCGAGCTAAGCTTAAGTTTCTTGTGTTTATATTTACCTTTTTGGTGACCACCTATAACATTAAGGACAATTTCACATTTTTAAGAGCCATATTGCTGTTGCCACTTGCATGAAGGACTTTGGAACCTTTCTCCAAACACATAGTAGTGTGGGACATTAACTGGGAAATGAACTGTTTTGAATTTGTTCTAGCAGCCTTGCATTTGAAGATTAGAAAGAGAGGTTACTTTCCCATTAACTCAGCTCTTCAAAATGAGTAGTGTAACTCTACTTTAATTTCCTGCCTCCTTCCCTTCTCTCTTAGAGTCCTTGAAGGTCACGTACCTCTGGAACTTTGTAGTGGAGAGGGAACTGCAGCAGTTTTGCGTGTGTTTCACTTTATGGACTCCTGTAATGAATATGGGGGAAAGTAGTGTGTGAGCATTTCCTCCATGAGTATAGCAATGGTAAATCCTTTGCTCTTAGTGGTAGGATGAATGTCTCTCTGCGGTATGCACCATATTAGAGAAATATTGGTTATACCGCTGTTGGCCATGTGAAGTTTCTTGTACGTTCCTCTGGCTTCCATATCATGTTGGCTGTTAAGATACTGTAGAAATGGCCCACCTATAATTTTAATTCTGAATTAATTGAAAAAAAATTATTTTATTTAGGATTCTGAAATATGTAACTGACATATCTTTATTCTGAATTTTTTCCTGGGATATATATTCTGAAGGACACTAAGTTTCTGCATTACAAACCTTTGGAATTTTTTCTTTTGTACATTAAATATTAAGCATTAAAAAAAAAAACCCTATAGTGAAATTTAAATGCAGCTTCCCTATTTTGTATTATCTACACTCCACCACTCCTTTTGATTCCTTCATTTTGTTTCTCACTGAACAAGGTTTTAGTTATAGATGACCTTGCTGCTTCTGAGAGCTCCTTCTCACAAGCCTTTTCCATACTACATTTTTATTTTATGTTTGTATTCAGAATTTAATTCTGATGGCAAAGTATTTATTAGAGATCTATTTAATGGCAGATATTTTGAAAAGATTTTGTCTAACATAATATAGTACTGAAGCAAAGTAAGACTGCCATTATGTTAGCATGCATGTTGCCTAATAAATAAAAATACAGTTTGCCCACCTGTTTGGCATACTTTAAGTAATTTATAACTGCTGATACAAGAAATTGTTCAGAACAGCTTACACTGGAAGATTATCATGCTCAAACTTAAGCTTTGTTTTGTCCGTTGTGGCTTTTTTAGAATGTTTTAGCTGACACATTTGAAAAGAACCCTCTAGTTGAAACATTTAAAATGTTGCAAATTCATCTCAAAAACATTAGATTTTTTTTTTCTTTTTTTTTAATAATGCTATCTCCTGAGGTATTGAATTCAAAACATTCCTGTGCTCTTGAAGAAATTTGAAATGAGTGTGTGTGTGTGTGTTTTGTTTTTGTCTTGTTTTTTTTAAGAGAGTCCTTAATACGGACTGCATTCCAGTGTCTTCAGTTGGTTGTGACAGACTTTCTTCCAACAATGCCATGTACTTGTCTACAGATAGTTGTTGAAGTTGCAGGAAGCTTTGGACTTCACAATCAAGAGCTAAATATTAGCTTAACTTCAATTGGTTTGTTGGTGAGTTTTATATTAACCTACAGTGATGCTGCTTCTGCCTTTCACTTTATTTTTTTTTTCTTTTTTTTTTTAATGAAAATTAGTCTGTAGTCAATTCTGCAAATGAAAGCCAAAACCTATTTTTTTGAGTTCTTACTGAACTCCTATGCTGTCATTTGGAATCATATGTAAATTGAGTGAGCACAATTTATCTTTAATCTGCATGACTCCAGGGTTAGGTAAAGAAATAGTATTGTGTTGTAACCATGTTCATCAGCATCTTATTTTTAATACGTTATTTCCCTTTCTAGTACTGCATGTATAACTGGAGCCTAAAAGCTGAGGCTAAGAAAAATACTTTCTGCGCCTTGCAGTATTTATGTGCTGGTCTTCTTCCATCAGTGTAGGGCAG